CCCCAAAACCCCAAAACCCCAAAACCCCAAAACCCCGGAAGTAATGATAAGTAGTTATATTTGAATTCAAAAATAAATAAAGGAATAATACAAAAATATGAATTCAGAGTACTATCAATCATATCTGAGGGAGAGATAGCAAAGGTTACTTAGTTAATATTCGTCATCTTCACAAGCTTTAACAGCCTAGCCTTATTCTACTCACCATAACTATCTTGAGACATAAAGAAATGAAAGATTTGACTAAGCAGATGATTTGGAAAGAGAAAGTATAGATTACAATGATAGTTATGATTAAGAAATAAGTGAAGAAAACATAGAGCTAGGAATAGTCAATAATTATAACAGGTAAATCAGAGATGTTTACTACTAAAAATTAAAGGAAAAATCTATCGAATCCTGGGCTTAATTCACTTGTCTAAGCATTATTTCTAAATAAAAGAAGAAATAGACTTGTGATCACAATAAATTTTAGACTTATTAGAGAGTATTTTAATCACTATAGCAATTTAAAACTTAGAATTAATTAGAGATGCTAAAGAAGAGGAAGGTTTTCTACAAATTATTGACTGCAACCAAGCTTTAAATAAATATTAGGAAGTTTTAGGATAAACAATAAATTAAGAGAATGAAAAAGATTTTCAATAGAATAAGGATAAGTATTAAAATGAGTGAAATCGATAAATATGTTTTGAAAAGATAGTTCAACGAATTCAAAAAATGTGTATGTAGATAAAAAGATGAAAACAACTAGTTAGTAGAAACAATTTAAAATAGATGCTTAAAATTTGAGAAACATGCCATAATAAATAGATGGAATGTTTTAATGAGAAAAAGATAGAGAATCAAAAAGCAAAAGGCAATCAAGTAGAATCAAAACTATCATCTATAAAACAAAGGATTTAAATCATTATTTGTTTATCTCTTACATCGAAGGAAATTCTTTAGAAAGAAGATGATCAAACTCTAAAGTAATTTATATATTTACAGTAAACTAATTTTAGCAAGAAGATTGAAAAAGTTAGTAACTTAATGGAGAAAGGTCATACTTAAATAGTCAATCAGAAATGATAAGAAAATACTAAAATTTAGAAAGATCTTTCCCTAACAAATGATTTTTAAGTAGTTGAAACTAAACATGATCATATTCAAGATTGCTAGAGAGTAGGCAAATCTTAGAAAAGTTATTTTTTAGGTAATATATTTTCGAATTAATTAGTTAATAGAATTGGAGTTTAGCTAGCAAATAGAAATAGTTTTGGAAGTCTCATGGATATTAGAGAATGTTGCATGCTGATGGATCTATAATTTTCAAAATATGGAAAATGAAGTATCTCAAAAATAAGAGTAAAAACTAAAAGTTAAAGTTTATCAAGAATCTGATTAAAAAGAGGTATTTTAGCATGATAAGGTCCTAATTTATAATTTAAAATACCGAAAAGATTATTGATTAGAGATATAAGAATTTTTTTCAAAGAAAAGTCTATATGAGTTTAAAGTTTTAAGCTATGAGAAAAAATGCTTGCTAGATTTATAGAAGAAAAATTAAAAATAAAATATTCGGAGTTTTCATTCAAAAGTTGATATAAAAGTAGATTACTTTAAATAAGTTATAGAGAGCAGAGAATTAATACCACAGAATATTACTTACTAAAGTATTAGTTAGTTTTGCAATGAAATATAGATAAAACAAAAGGCTTAGACATGGAAATCAAATTCTCCACTTTAATTATTGCTAAAGAATATAACTTAATACTATACAGATGCTTAAGAAGTTCAAGATAATGCAATAATAACTGAAATTAAGTATCTTATTTCATTCAAAAGTATCAAAAAATAGAGTATTTCTTCATTTTAAAAAGTATTTGTAAAGACAAAAATCATTTTAATACTTAAAAGTTAGCTAGATTAAGAAATTTAAAAAGCTCATGTTGATCATGATGGTCTAATCTTTTCAAGTAGGCAATTAAACAAGTAAAATGAGTGGAGCTAAATATAGTTTAATGATCTTTAACTAAAAAGTAAAATCCTAGATCGGGTTGAACTAGAGATTATATGAAGACTATATTAAGACATAAAAATCTAAAATTATTAATATGAGAGTGAGACAAAATCTAATGTAATTTGCGTTTTTCTACTTGAATTACACAACTAATAAATAATAAAAAGTAAGGTCTATAGCCCATATTGTTAAAACAAAAAATAAAATGAGGAAGAAATAATCAATTCTAAGGAAATTAGCAAAGATTTACAAAATAAAGATAAAGTTAAGGAGAATTTAAATGAGGTCGATGAGGATTTACCTTAAAGCATTTTATTGCTAATTATAAAAACAAAGAAGATAGGGTCTGATATTAAAATATTTCAGAGTGAAAAAAGAAAGAATTTTCTTCAATAGACTCAGAATATATCAAATAATTTAGTAAAGGAGATAAGTTAGTTATAGATCAGCATACGAAACTATATTAAAATTTAATCATCAATAGAAGTTCCTGATTCAAAGCTTTAAAACTAGATTATGCATATCAAGTTGGCGAAAATTTATATCATTGAAAAAATAGGGGTTGATTAAGGATGAATTGAACATGTTTAAAGAAATAAAAAAGTTTGTTGAAGAAAAATAATAGAATTTCTCGCCCAAAAATGAAACTAAAACTTAACTGGCAACTTCAAATTAAAAGATGGGAGGAGGATACACAAAATTGAACTAAAAGAAATAAGAAACAAAAAAAGCCCTTTAATTTGTAAGAGATAAGGATGGGGAAATAATCAAGGAGAAGCTAAAGGAATAAAAGAAAAATCCTCCATAGGTTTAATTGCTGTAAAGAGAACTTGAAGAATAATTGCAAATTATTAAAAATCTCGAATAAAGAGAAGCTGAAAGATAAAAAGAATTTAAAAAGAAATCTACTTTAAGCCAAAAGAGAGTTATAAAAAAGCAAAAGAAGGAAGAAGCTAAATTAATTCAATAGTATCTTGAAGCACCAGTAGATCTGGAAAGTATCAGAACAATTGATGAACCAATGAGCTAAAAAGATCTTCTACGATAGAAAATGACTTCAAATGAAAAAATGAGATCTCAGGATATAAATGATAGAAGTCCATTCAAAAATACTGAGTAAATACTTCAAGAGTTTAATTAAACTCAATACTTTAGGTAATAAATTATATCATCTCCAAAATCCCCTAAACCTGATCCAAGAGAACTTCCTCTAAAACATAATTTCAAAAACTAGAGATTAGAATCCTAAGAGTAATTAAAATCAGAGAAATAGTTGCAAGAAGAATAATAGAAAACTTAAAAATCTGAAAAGATAAGATCAATCATAAAATCAACAATTAGAAATTAACAAAGTATTGAAAGAGACGACAACTAAAGTAAGATTAAGAAGTCTTTGAAAGAATTCAATCAGAAAGTCAGGGAAGAAAATAAATTACTCTAGAAGAAATAGTAGGTATTAGATCAAGATGAAGTCCACTATCAATATGATGTATAAATATAGCAAAAACTTTCATTCGATCAGCAATGCTAATTGTAATAGGAATATGATAACTCATTTCAAATGGAGAAGGAAAATGTTAGAATGAATTCAAACTTGAATTAATTGAATACAGTTACACAAACTAACGCTAACACTAATACTAATTCATACTTTAATTCTTAGCTTCCTGAAACTAAAATAAACAGCCCAAGGTAATATCAAGTTATTGATTAGCTGAAATAGACTTCAAAAATAAACAAAAGCGAAATATTTTAAATCTTGGATGATATTTCCACTACAATACTTAATAATAAAAATAACTAATAAAGCGATTTGAGATTTGATTATTCAAACAGATAAACTAAAGCTATTGAGCCTTAAACATATAGATATGTGCAAGAACAGATTATTCCAAGTTCAAGATAAAGAACAAAAGTTGACATTGATCTTGATAACCTAAGAGCTGAACTTTAAAATTATGAAAATCAATTGCTGATCAAGAGTCCAACCTAAGTCAAAAATGAGATTGAAATTGATAATTTCATTTATAGCTATAACTAAAAGTCTTAAGATGATGATTTAGGGAATTCTTTTAAAGAAGATCGGATAAGGTCTCCAAAGATGGTACGATTCGAAGGTATAGATTTAGATTCTTTTGATCTGAGTAGCTTCAGTAAAGAAAAGTATTAATATAAATATCATGACAATGAATATAAACAGGAAAGGGTAGAAGCCACAAAATATGATACAATTACTGATATTTGAGCATTGATTATAGCTAAATTAAACCTTAATTTAATAACCTTAATATATCAAGTTATATAAATAAATCAATCGTTTAATATGTTACAAGCCTTTAAATGCTAAAGGTCGACTAGACTTTGTATTCTTTTATGAGTCACCTTAGGTTTACCTAGGGGAAAGGATTCAATACTATTTTGCTCGCTGGAAAGCTAATCCTTGATCCTAATTTTTACAAGCTCAAACATTCCTCTCTTAATCATAGTATCTTTTCTTTTTGGGATTAGGGTTTCAGAAAGTTTTACAGACTAGTTGTATAAAGGATGATGAGATAGACCAGGTATATAGTTAGATTCTTTAAGCTATTTACGAAAGCCCTCTCTTAAGTATTGAATAGACTAATTCATAATATGTCTATGTTCTTAATCCTGAAGATTTCTTTCGCTTAACTATGGAAGCACTTTGAACGATCTATAATTTTATTTCTCATTAATGCAGCTATCTGTTTTTATCAATGATTTCAAAGAATCATTATGATTCTTAAGCTCTGATATTTTTACTATTGGTGACAAATTTACTTTTTTCTTTTGCTCTTCTAATCTAGCTAGGAGCTTGACATGTGGTATTTTAATAAGTGCTTCTCTTTTTACTTTGGGGATTTTTGATAGATTTCCTAGTTATACTAAACTTTCACTAATGTTTTTATCTTTAAATTAGCACAGCTTTAAATCTAGATTCATTTGTGGCTCTTCAATTTTCCGTCTTCTGATTCTCTTAATCTTCACATCTGGTGTTGAATCTTAAATTTCTTGGCTAAATCTTTTGGAGCTAAGCATTTAATGAGAATCCAAATTATCTATTTCTATAATTGCATTTTGACTTACATTAGTACTGCGATAAGATTATTATTAATGTGATAAGTGTCTTAAATCTAAAGCTTTTAATTGAGGTTCGAAAAAATCGCTGGTAAATGTCTTTTAGTTATTAAGATCGAGTTCACCACCAGTTGTACTCTCTCTCACACTGTTAAAGCTTTTGAATTATGTAACTACTGACTAATTTTCAATCATATTAGAAGATTCCACTACTAATTCATTTTTACCGCTGAATAGCTTGATGAAAGTGTGCATATCATTAATCGTATTTTTATTTTAAACATCCTATGATTAGAGCTACTTAAGCGTTTAGCGATAAACAGTCTTCTAAAATAAATAAGTGAGCATTTTATTGAAATTTAGAGGTAGATACTATTTTTCAGCTATTCTAAACATCTAATAATCCTCCTCAATTCTCTATCGCATTTATAAAGCTATATTCCTGAATTTAAGTTGCGCATCATCACTGTTGATGAATTTTTTAAATTCTTCTAAAGATAACGTGCCATTTTTATCATCGTCTACGATATTGAAGATCGCTCTTAAATCCTATTCACTCACGTTGACTCCATTTTCTTCAAACATTATAGCCAATTATGATACCTCAATTTGACCTTTCTGTCCAATATCATATGAGTTAAATATTTCTTCGATTTCCTCCATCTTTTGAATTTACTGAGGGTTGAATATGTAGCTCTTCTTAGTTTTATTTTTATATCTTTTTTAAAGCCATTGTTTAGTTGATTACTATTTTAAATGAGCTGAATAAATTTCTGATTTATTTGTTCTAATTGGAGAAGTTTTGCATGACAACGAAGAGAACTGTTTTTAAGATTATGCACTTGAGAGTTATGTCAGGAATGATGGCTTTCTTTTAGGGATTTATATATTTTGACTATCCATTACAAATAAATACGATAAATTACTATTTCTGAATCAAATCTTATTATTTTATTAATCTTACTAATATAATAGAGAGCACTTGGGGTTTTGGGGTTTTGGGG